GTGTGTGTGTGAGGCTTGTCCCCTGTCCCCGCCGATGGGCTACAATGATCGCCATTAACATTATCATTATTCATTATACACAAAACACTGATGCAACACCTTATTGGCTAATTTTTTAGTGTGTTTGTAATAATATAACATATTACAGATAAAATTGATAAATTAATAATCACTATTAATTCTATATTGGTCTTTAATGGGAGGAAACTTGCCAGTTGGATCCTCCAAAACCATGGTATTTGGTCTCTTAATAGAGAGTTTTTAATTGGAGGGAACAGCAAGGTATTAATAACACGCATTCAACCGCAGCCGCAGAGAAGTGAACTTTAATTATTATTATTATTGTTGTTGTTGTTGGTGGTGGTGTTGGTGTTGTTGTTGTTGTTATTATTATTATTATTAGGCCTATTATTATTATTATTATTTTATTATTATTATTATTATTATTATTATTTTATTATTATTATTATTATCATCATCATCATCATCATCATTATTATAATTATTATTATTATTATCATCATCATCATTATTATTATTATTATCATCATTATTATTGTTGTTTTTGGGTTGTTATTATTGCTGTTATCATTGTTATTATTATCAACTTCGCCATCATCAACATCAATAACAAGGACACGATAATACAAATAGAGAGAAAAGGAACAATCATTAACAACCGGATGGGTTTAAAGAAGAGAAACAAAACATGATGTAATAAGTTTCTTTTAATTTCGCATTTGTGGGCGGTGTGTTGTGGTTACATTTGTAGGCGTTTTCACATTTTTTTAAAAATTATTTATTTGTTCTTTATACTGGGTTTCCTCTTCAGTAACAAATTACTGTTCTCCCAGAGGGCCCAGTTCACATAAAACAGTCCACGAAGGGCCGGGTGAACCAGTACACCGGGGTAACCCTCTACTCATCTCGAATGATGTACTGGGTTCTTTAAAGTGCACATGAGCATTTGTGTACACTGGGCCTACAGTTTATAGTCCTTACCCGAGAAGACTTGTTCCACCACCAGAACCATAGGAGCGAGCCGGCCGTGAACCTATGCCGATATTGTTGGCTATGATCACGGTGCCCCTGCCTTAACTGCTCGGCCATTTGGCTCGCATTTGTGGTTTCAACACCCCACTCCCTCACCAAAAGGCTGAAACGGACTATTATTGTGAGTTGTTCCTGCCTAATTGTATTGGTCTTATCAATTACGGAGCCATTGACGACAGAGCAACCATGAGAGGTTTTGATTTAACAATAATTTACGTCTGAGGTGTATTTCTTGAGTCGAGTTCTTTGTAGGAGGGCTATGTAGAAGTATTTTTCACTATGCTCTGAAATTCGCT